TTTTGCAACTGCGTGGGTCGTTTTAAATGTCGCAAAGGACTCTGAATGGGAAAAATGGCTTCTATGCATCCTTTCCCCAATGTTGACATTCGATTTGCATTGATTCTGCTTATTAAATTTTTTTTTTTATACCCGTTACTCGTAGAGTAAAAGGGTATATTGTATTCGTGCAAAAGTATGTAACAGGTAGAAGGAAGCGTTTCCGACCCTATAAAGTATATATATTCTTGTTCAGGATCACTAGCCGAGTCGATCTAGCCATGTTCGTCTGTCTGTCCGTCTATCTGTCTGTCTGTCTGTCCGTATGAACGCTGAGATCTCTGAAACTATAAAAGCTAGAAGATTGGCATTTTGCATGTAGATTTTAGGAGTTCCTACGCAGCGCAAGTTTGTTTCAAAATTGTGCCACCCCCCTCTGACGCCCACAAGCCACAAGCTGTGGCCACAGTTTTGATGCTATTATGAAAATTTTAATTGATATGTATTTGTTTCGTCAATACCTATCGATTGGCCTAATAAAAGTTTGCCACGCCCACTCTAACGCCCAAAAACCCATTAAACGCTTATGCCTGGCTAGCGCCTACATTTCTACATGGGGTAGATGGCGCAATACAATAGAGCCATCTAACGGTTGACTTTGGAACAGCTGGCCAAGGTGCTCAACAGAGTCAACGTTAATTCTCGATAAGGATTTCTATTAAAGGAAATTGCGATGGTTTTCATTTGTCAATACCGAACTATATCCCAAGAACTATGCAAATCAAATCAAGTTAGCCAAATTGGAAGTCTGAGTCAAACAATGGCGTATGTGTGTATGTATGTAAGCATATACATATGTATGTATTTACATTGTACACAGTTGTAATTGCCCGGCAATTATAATATTAAGTTGCTTAGCTCAGTAACGGGTATCTAATAGTCGAGGCACTCGACTATAGCGTTTTCTCTTGTTTACCTTGTAAAGTCAAACAACTTTTCCTTTATTTTAAGGCACTAAAACAATTTTAGCTATAAAATTAATCATTTTACCATTAAGATTATAGAGGCAAATGTGATAATTAAAAAAAGTGGCCAAATTGATAAAGTTTTAACAAATAGTTAATTAAAACACAAATGTGCTAATAATTTTGTTCAGGGAAATTGGTCCATTCTTTGGTTTTTTATTTTGAATAAATTATTTATAAAAGATAAATTAATGAAGTCACCTGTATTTAACATAAAATTAATGATTCTATTTAAAAATATTTTGTTCTATTTTAATATCAGCATATTAGAAGAAGAAAAATAGCCTTAAAGTTTAACATGCTTGCTGTGCCAATAATTAAGTTTGTCACTATGTATATTCACATGTTTGTATATATACGCGTGCGCAAATCACTAAGGTGAAAACAATTCTTACCAGGGAAATAGTCCAGTTATGTTTATCATTAAGATATACGTTTCTTTAAGCATTATGGAAACCAAAGATAGAGCTGCATACAAAATATTTAAAGGCAAATGATCAAGCCTGGTGGTGGTTTTGGGCCTGTATGTTTGCAGCTTAAGCCGGGATTTTGGATTTGGTGGACACAAGAATGAACCAAACTCTTAATTTAAACATATTGAAGTCCATTTTGCTATTTGGGGATTCGTGATAAATTCCAATTTTATCAGGACAATTATCCCAAGCACACATCGCGAACTCTGCCGACATGGCTCATTTAAAATTGCCAGCATATCATGAAACCATCAGCCTGGTCTCAAGATAATAATGTTATTGATAATTGGTTGGCTATATTGGACAGAAAAATTCGAAAGCGTCAAATTTTCAATAAAAAACGCATTACTCGAAGAATGGGCCAAAATTAGTCCCCAAGTAACTTAAAAATTGGTCGACTCAATCCCAAAACATGAGAGAACGCTATAGTCGAGTGCCTCGACTATTAGATACCCGTTACTCAGCTAAACAACTTAATATAAATATGCCTTCTTGTATGTTTTTCGCCGCTCGAATTAGCACCTTGGCCAGCTATTCCAACGTCATCCGTTAGATGGCGCTACCGTAGTACCACGGGCCATGAAAGGCGGAAATGTAGGCGCTAGCCAGGTTTAAGCGTTTAATGGGTTTTTGGGCGTTAGAGTGGGCGTGGCAAACTTTTATTAGGCCAATCGATAGGTATTGACGAAACAAATACATATCAATTAAAATTTTCATAATACCATCAAAACTATGGCCACAGCTTGTGGCTTATGGGCGTCAGAGGAGGCGTGGCACCATCGAAACAAACTTGCGCTGCGTACGAACTCCTAAAATCTACATGCAAAATGCCAATCTTCTAGCTTTTATAGTTTCCGAGATCTCAGCGTTCATACGGACAGACAGACAGACGGACAGACGGACATGGCTAGATCGACTCGGCTAGTGATCCTGAACAAGAATATATATACTTTATGTGGTCGGAAACGCTTCCTTCTGCCTGTTACATACTTTTGCACGAATACAATATACCCTTTTACTCTACGAGTCTTTATACCCGTTATAAAGACTTAAAATGATTGTATACAAGGAGGCTGGTCATACAAAATATTATTTTATCATTTTTAGTTCATAATTTAAAAAAATATATAATGTTAAGGGCTGGTTGAAATAAGCTGTGGCATTCATTTTACCTGTTATTTGAGTCTTAAAATATTAAAAAAATATTTAAAAGTGTAAGAATTCATGAAATAAAAGTTAAAATACTGAGCTATAAATCTGCGTTTTAAAATGTTCCAATATCTCTTTTAATTTGGCAAATACAGCGATTTAAAGTTTTACTTGAGCACTGGTTGAAATAAGCTGTGAGCCACTGTATGTATGTTTGTATGTGCTCCGCCAACAGACGTACATATGTACTATATATATTAACATGTTTTTCTATACTCGTGCGCAAATCACTAAGGTGAAAACAATATACGTTTCTTTATGCACAACATTTTATGAGATTATTCAAAAAAAATAAATTTATTTCTATATTTACATGTATATTTTAACGACAAATTTATTTTTTTCAGATTTTGAAAAACTAAAGTTATTTTGCTAGCTAAGTAAGAACATAATTATACAACAAGAGAGAACGCTATAGTCGGGAGCCACGACTATCAGATACCCGTTACTCACGTAAAAGGAAGTGTGAGGGAGATGGAGATAGAAACTTTGATCACCCATAACTTTTTAACGAATGGTCCGATTTGAAAAATTTCTTCTACATTTCGATAGGTATTGATAAACACAATAAAACTGCATTTTTACTTTTCCGAAATATTTAAATTTTTTAAATCGTATATAAGCGATTGTGGGCGTTAAAGGGGGCGTGGCACCATTTTGAAACAAACTTGCGCTGCGTAGGAACTTCTAAAATCTACATGCAAAATGCCAATCTTCTAGCTTTTATAGTTTCCGAGATCTCAGCGTTCATACGGACAGACAGACAGACAGACAGACAGACGGACAGACAGACGGACAGACGGACATGGCTATATCGACTCGGCTAGTGACCCTGATCAAGAATATATATACTTTATAGGGTCGGAAACGCTTCCTTCTAGCTGTTACATACTTTTGCACGAATACAATATACCCTTTTACTCTACGAGTAACGGGTATAAATATAACTTTTTAAACACGTGATATTAAATTTATTAAATAACAAGAAAGGAAAGCTAACTTCGGGCGGAGCCGAAGTTGATATACTCTTGCAGAATATTCTGCAAATTATATTCTCTAGAATTATTTATATGATGCATTCTTAATACTCATAAAAAGTCACAACTTCCTACCTTTAAAAACACCAAAGTTATGGCTTTTCCGATTGTTCAGTTATAAGGCAGCTATATGATATAGTCGCCCGATCCGGCTCGTTCCGACTTATTTACTACCTGCAATAGAAAGACAACTTTTGGGAAAGTTTCAAGCAGATAGCTTTAAAACTAAGTTTGCGTAGAAACGGACGGACGGACAGACGGACATGGCTAGATCGACTCTTCTGGTGATGCTGATCAAGAATATATATACTGTATAGGGTCGGAAATGTCTCCTTCACTGCGTTGTAATCTTTTGACTGAAATTATAATACCCTCTGCAAGGGTATACAAATAACAAGAGAGAACGCTATAGTCGGAACAATAAAACTGCATTTTGACTTTTCCGAAATATTTAAATTTTTAAAATCGTATATAAGCGATTGTGGGCGTTAAAGGGGGCGTGGCACCTTTTTGAAACAAACTTGCGCTGCGTAGGAACTCCTAGAATCTGCATGCAAAATGCCAATCTTCTAGCTTTTATAGTTTCCGAGATCTCAGCGTTCATACGGACAGACAGACAGACAGACAGACGGACAGACAGACGGACAGACGGACAGACGGACAGACGGACATGGCTATATCGACTCGGCTAGTGACCCTGATCAAGAATATATATACTTTATAGGGTCGGAAACGCTTCCTTCTAGCTGTTACATACTTTTGCACGAATACAATATACCCTTTTACTCTACGAGTAACGGGTATAAAAATAAATACAAATTCGGATTTCTTTTTATGGGGAAGGTGCAAAATGTATACTACAGCTCGCAGCCAATAGTAAACGGGTTATGCCGGTAGCATAGTATTTTTTTTTATGACAAATAAACTAGGAGTATGGGAATAAGTACACCGAGTGAGTTTAAATGTTATACTTGGGAGTATAAAATTGATAACATCGAAATTTGTATTTTAATACTATCGAAGTTATTTATTTAACACTCATTTTATCGAGAAATTTGATATACTGAATAGTTTTTTATGTGTAGTTTAGAAGTAGATCGAACCACTTCGGTAGTTAGTTTCGACTTACCATCCATATTTTTAAATAGCGAACCCAATATCTTATCAATAATTCTGTAACGCATAAAAACCATCAAAATAATTCTCAACTACTCGTTTACCTTTGAAATAGAAAACTTTTTCAAGATTTAAGTATGTACATTTTGTTGGTGAATGCATACAAAGAAGTGAATATTTATTGTGAAATTTAATACCTAAATTAGGAAAATCCAAAGAAGAAATTTGAAATTTCTTCCTACACTGGGCGGCTTTTTTGTTTTTTGGCAAAATAGATGCCAGTAAAAGCGTTCGTTCTCAGTAATCTACAAATTAAACTAATCACTGTTTTGCCTGTGTGAAGAGGGCAAATACGGTGCCTGAGGCGGGGGTTGCGCATACAGCAACTTGCCATCCGAGTAGCGCATCAGGGTCATTAGCTTCAGCATGCGCAGCTCCTCTTTGTCTTTGTCCTTGTCCTTCTCCCGATCCTTATCCTTATCCTGTCCGATGGTCTGCATGTGATAGTGGTGGTGCGAGCGATTGGGATCTGCTGACTGGTCGGGTCTTTAAAATACTCAAGTCATTAACGTTCTTTAAAAAGCTTTGGTTCGCTGACAATTTCTCGCATTGCACGTCCTTTTTCAGCTCCTCCATGTCTCGCTTAAGTTTGGCCCGTCGATTTTGAAACCAAGTGATGACCTGTTGTATACAAAATTATTAATTGCCTATCAGAGTTACACAAAGAAGTTAATACGTGTAAAAAACAATCGATTGATTTAATCAAATCTGAATAAAATTTTAAGTTCTTCTTAAGTTTTGTCCTTTATGGCAGAAACAACGATGGGAGTAATGACGGTAAGCCTTAAAGTCTAATAATCTCGAAACCGAAAAGATTTTTTTAAAGCAATACAAATAAAGTAATAACAATTTCAGTCTGATATTATCGGTTCAGAGATCATCCCATTTTAAATACATGGGCATTGTTTTGGGTGTATGTAAAATCTGCGTTTTTAAATTTTCACGTTTTTTTTTATTATAACTGTTCTAAATAAACAAAAATATCCCAAAAATAAATTCTCGAGCCTTCGTTAATATATATTTTGTAGTAGTTTTTACACGTACCAATTTCCAATTATCACTTATTGCTGATAAAACGCAAAACTTCAAAAAATATGTAAATAACGAAAAAATATGTTGTTTTGCGAGCAACTTCAGAAAATACTATACTCACCTGTGCATTCGAAAGACCCAAGCCACCGGCAATTTCATCGCGATCAGCTGGCGACAGATATTTTTGGTATAGAAAGCGCTTCTCCAGCTCGAAAATTTGCTGATTGGAAAAGGCGGTGCGCGACTTCCGCTTCTTCTTTGGATTCGAACGAGTAGCAAATATGTTCAATGTGGCGGGATCTGCAATGCAAAAAGATCAACATGAAAATCAATATCAGCAACGGATCGACGCAGAAAGGTGTGTTGGCATCGTAAATTATTCAGCGATAAGTCAAATTTTTATATGATTCACACGGATGATCGTTAAACGGAAAGTTTATCGGACTTTTGGTTCTTTTTAGCCGAGTAGCTGGGTCTGGCATTTCTCCGGAGACCGTCCTGAGGATGCATTAATGATCGGTTTTACTGCCGATCTCTACGCATTCACTAGCACTTTCGATTCAATCAGTAAAATTCTCGTGCCTAAAACAATTTCAAACACACAATTCGATGGAATTCATAATAGACAATCGACAATAACAAATTGGTGGTCATAAAGGCGGATTCTCTTGCTTCTTCGTTTTATACCCTCGAGTTTTATTGGCCACATCGCGATAAATGATTTCCCCTGTGTTGTTTTCTTAAGCGTTTCGATGGTGATTTGAGCTGGATTTTGATAGTCAGTATTTGTTTTTGGCATGTTAAAAGGTAATAAGGTGGCTGATTGATGTTTTTACTTGCCTTTTTGAAAAGAAAATCTTGGCGGAAACTGCTTTCAGTCCAGATGAACTCATGCTGGAATCCGGCCCAACCCCATAAGATTTTGTTTATTTATCGCGAGCAATTAAATTTTTGCTTCGTTGGGAATACTTTTTATTTACACGCCTGCGGAATGATCGCGGTGAATAAGTACTCAACTAAAGCATCAACGGAAATGGCTGTTGATTCGTTTGCTTACAGGGTTGAATGTGAAGAAATAAAGGGAGGAAGCAGGAGACCTCAGGAAGTCCGACGATGAAAATGGCAGCTGCGCATTGAAGCCCTGTCGCAGCGAATTTTTCGGTGTTAAACATGTCGGACAAATTACAATTAAAACACGCAAAAGTGAACAATTGGTAAAATTCAAGGACGTCGGGGTTGCTTCATTTTCTCTTCTTTATTTTGAGTCCTTGTGGTTAAAGTCGAAGTTCTTGTCCAAAGCCATTTTGACACTTTCCTGATGTGTTTATTGCGGGGTTAGATAATCTACCGTTTTGTAAACGCCCTTTACCATCAATTCTCGAGGGTTGAAAGGATCCGTGCTGCAGAAGGCACACACACACACTAACCGGAGAAGGAACATGAAGAGTTAATTAAAGGTAAATTAGAGGTAAAGGCCATTGAAATATGCCTGACACTACTCAAAAAAAAGCTTTTGAAAAAGCTTTTGCTTGATTTGTTGATTAACTTTTAAAAACAAATGTCAAAAAAGCAATGAGCTTTGTTCACCTAAAATAGGATTACTAAATCAGAAGAATTTAATTTCATACATAAATTCTTTGAAATGAAATGTGCAAATGCCTTTAGTTAAACTACTTATTCTGCCCAGCTGCAAGGCTATACAGAAGTTAGCTTCTATTTATGTTGTCACACCTGTAACCTATGGAGAAATGATTTTAGGCCCTATGTAACTATTCGGTAAATATTTATATTAGGTTGAGACAATTATAAGTAACGCCAGATGGCGTCACTTCTTTTTCCTTTGCCGTCTATCTGGAGTTAGAGAGTAACACCCTTTGACGTTCCTTTTTTATACCCTTGCAGAGGGTATTATAATTTTGGTCAGAAGTTTGTAACGCAGAGAAGGAGTCGTTTCCGACCACATAAAGTATCTATATTCTTGATCAGGATCAATAGGGGAGTCGATATAGCCATGTCCGTCTGTCCGTCTGTTTCAATACTGTTTGCGAGCTCAGCTTAAAAGCTAGCGATCTGAAACTTTCACAGTCGTCCTTAAATACGTATACGCAGATAACTCCCATAGGAATAATCTGATATATCTAGCAAGAATTGAATCTTTCCAAATCGTATTTTTTATGCATACCTTGATCAGGGTAAAAGCGCTTGCCGATGAGACGTTTACATCTTATAGCTTCCATAGCAAAAATTGTTAAGGCTGCGAAAATATCCCTTTTTTAATATTTTTATATGACGTTTTTGCAGTATAAAAGCTTTTGACATGAAACTACTACTTTTTCAATTTTAGCAATTTCGGCAAAGTCTGCGAGGGTATTAAAACTTCGGCTTGCCGAAGTTAGCTTCAATCCTCGTTTTTATTTCACTTTATCTACGATTACATTGCATTTCGGAATAAGATTAACATTAACAGTATGAGTATAAACCGAATTTGATTTATTCGCCAGTTCAATATTCTTCATTACCCAACTTGGCCCTACCTTCCTAGCCACGTCTCTTATTAAAAGCAACAGCTAGCCTACTATTAGCCAAATGCGGCCAGGTTAGGGGTTTGCGGTGGTAGGTGTGTTTTTGGACATTTGTTGAGCTTTATTAATTAAAAACTCCACTTCGGTTCCTGGTTAATGGCTTAACCCACATGGAGCGAATGTCAGTTGCGGCACTAACAACCACCCAGATTGAGTTAATGTGCATTGGGTATTCCCAAAAGAATTACGACCTGGGCACCAACAATTCCACTTCGTGCCGTGGGCTACATTCAATGTCATCAGCATAACTAATCATTGTGACAGCCGGCGGAAGGTTGCCGGTGACACCGAAACACCAGGCGACAGTTCGCACAATGAACTCAAGGAGTTGCTCCTGTTGTCTGGGAAGTAAGCGTAAGTTATGCTTTCTGAAAGCGTTGCTAATTGAGACACAAACAAAATGACGCATTGTCCTCGCGCTGGATGGGTGGGTTTGCTTTAGATACTACTAAATGTACACTTGTCGAAATTTTTTTTTCGATTTTTCTTGTACAGTCAGAAGTATTCAAAGTATTGACCCTTTTAGAGACCATCCTAAGCAGTTAAGAATGTGTTTTTTAAGTAATTATCTTCTTACCCCACCCCAAAAAGTGACTTAAATAATTTTGTTGGACAACAACAACATGCGTTTTGGCTCGAACAGATGACCCTGCACAATTGTGTTTTAAAATATGTTATACGAGTACAGTTGAATAATTTGCAAATACCGGAGCAAAAAAAAATGTTGCAAGTGAAGAGAAAACCAGATGCCGGTTGATGATTTTGGACTCACATCTTCCGCGAAATATTTAATTGGGGCGATGATGGCAACTTATCCGGTTCAGCACCCATATTTCTCTGTGTGCACTCACGAGGCGATAAAATACGAGATGGCGTGCACTATCAACGACCAATCTAAGAAACAGGCCTGCCGCACATGGATAATGGTGTGACTGGCAATTAGCTGGACTCTGCTACTGAAGGCACATTAATTAACAGCAATTAATTAAAAGCTACCTGGTTAATGCCGGATCACGGCCTAGTCTTCCGCTCTAAACCAATCGAACTCCATTGGAAAATGAGCCGCTCAAGCAGAAAACAGAGTGCGGCTCAAAGTGCCGGAGCAATTATGTTGATTAAGTCCGAAGGCGAGGAACGATTCAATTAAAGCCAACTCCAAATCAATCAGCCGAGATCAGCCAGCGGCCGAATATGTGGCAGTAATGGTAATCTGCGGGAAGTGCACGCATAAAGAAGAACATCATAATAAAAGACAGTCGAGATCACAATCGAGCTCTCGGTCGGTGCTACCAAGATGCGTATCGCTGTATGGGGCTAATGCTAATGCCCAGGGAATTCTTTGCCACAAGGTGCCTGCTGTTCACACGCTCTTCAAATGTTTCGGATCGCAGCGGACCCTTTGAAAGATGAGAAGAGGTAGGTAGGTAGACAGGCTCGGATTTGCCAGCAGAACCAGGCCAAAAGCATGACTTGTGGAATGTGATTCGGGAGGCCAGCGGAAGACTCAATTAGGAGCTTGGACTTTTCGGGGGATTTACGACCGCAAGGAATTTCACATTCTGAGGGGTCGGGCTAAATACCTGCCAATAGCTTTATAAGACTGCCGCCACCACAGAGTTATGACAAACCGGCAAAGGACAAAGGCGACCTTCGGATGCAAAAGAGTTGAGCTAAAAGCGCTAATTATGGCAAGAAGAGGAGCTCCAGCGGCAGACCACAAATTGCGTTGTCCAGAAGCTCGAAAGCGTAATCAAAAACTAATTTTAATCCTGTTTGGGGAACACTCCCGCATTGCTTCACCCTAAACCCTAACCCGATCGGATCAGAGCTCTTTTCAGCGGTAGGTCCCGGTTAATTTATTCTAAATGGCTTTTTGAAATCTCCGAAACAACACAAGAAATTTACTTATGACGTTGCCGGCGTCACTCGAATAAGAAAATAAGAATACATAACCGCAGATCCCCAGCTTTGGGCTCTGAGATCCCAACGATGATTCAGACCGGATCAAACTCGATGCCGGACCCTGCATATTTTTCTCACTTTGGCGTGTCTGCGTGTTGTTAGCAATGAAATTGATGAGTTCGAGCAGGTTATAAAACCCAATACCTTTTTGGCTACCTTTGTTTGCTGCCTCTTTTATTATTATTATTGCTGTTGCTGGACCTACGAAAAGCCGAAACACAATAACACAAATTAATTTAAGAAGATGAGACAAATTTAGCCGCCGACAAAGTGAGCTGGCCACGGAGATTCCCATTATCATTATGGAGAGCGGGGCGCAGCTCTCCTTAACGAGAAAGTTATAAATTTTGGTATTTTCTTTTCGATATTCAAGCTGGCGACTTTTCGACTGGTGGGGTCTTTCGTACAACCTAGAAGACTCTCATTGTCGGCTTCTTGTTTACACGTTCGTAATGCGTCCAATAAATTGTTTTCTTTGTAGTCATTTATTCCGCCTCTGAGATCTGGGACCTACCAAGATTTTCCAATAATCTAAGTTATTTTTATTGTAAAATATAAGTTTTTAGAATCGATCGGTCAGATTTTATGAATTCAGTTTGAAAGGTATTTAATAGTATAACGAGACATATTTTATATAAACATCAACATGGGCCTAAAAGTATTTTTAAAATTAAGGCATATACATTGATTTAAGTTTGTTAATCACGGTTTTAAAGGATACCTAAATGTTTACCCTTATAATCGGCACTTTGCATA